CAGTATTTCCTATATCTCGTATATGATATGTACAAAAGATAATCAAATATAAGAAACATATCAAAGTAGTAAATAGGCAAAATAATATATATAAGATGTGTGCATATGCACAGTGATCTTTTCCATAATCACTTGGTTAAACTTTCTCCATTTGTTCCTTCAATAATATCTTTCACATAATCCTGACCTTTCTCTCAAATCAAAACCTTTTATATTTTTCTTTTCTCTGTAATTTTCCTTTCAATTCTCTGTTAGTGAGATTTTGACTCCTCTAACTCTTTTTTATCTTTTTTTTTTTCGTCCCCTTTCAACTCAATTTTCTCAAAGAACCCTTAAAAGAAAAAAACTCTCCTCCTTTTTTATTTAAAATCTTCATTTCATTCCCTTTGCATTCTTACTAGCCTTCCTATAAGAACTTGCACAAAAACTTTTCTCTCTGTTATAGGTCACTCAATTATTAAAACGAGGTTTTTTGTACTTTTATTCCCTACTTCATCGGTTAATTAACTTCAATGTGCTCGATTATCATCATAGTTTAGTCATTATCATCTTGTAGCTCTCTTCATTTCACACTTTCATCATTTTCTCTTCTCTCTCTCTCTCTTATCATTTTTACGATAGTTATCTCTTTTTATTATAGTTGTAAACTAAAGAGAAAAACCCACGATTTTTTAAATGTCACCAAGTTGTAGTTTGAAGTGAGGCAAAGTTAGGTTACACTCATATTTAGGCTTAAATAAACTTTGATTTTGGGTCGAACTACATTATAATCTTAGGACCGAATAGTGTGATGTTAAGGTTCTTGAATTTTATTTTAGTTTGAACTCGACATCCTTAGTAGATTTTTTTAAAATCAGGGCTCTAATTTAAAATAGAATGTTCCTAGTAACCTTCCTAGTAAAGTACTATTTAATTTCACTAAAAAAATTACTTGAAAATAATGAGAGAACTTGGCTGAAGAAAGCGTAGAGAGAATGAGAGAGGAGAGAACGTTCCATGGTAGAGAGAGAGAGATAGTGAACGTAGAGGTTAAATGATGTGAGAGAGAGATAAATAGAGAGTAATAAAGGAGAGAAAGAGAGAGAGAGAGAGTAAAAGAAAAGAGAGATGAAGATGGGGAGAGACGAATATATGATTTTAATTTTTCACTTTAATTTTAATTTAAATTTTCCCTATGCCATAAGCTATAAGTAGTTTTTTGTTGTTAAATAAGTTTTAACTTATTTATGAATATTTCAGTTAAAAATAATAGTGTTAGTATTTCTAAAAAAGATTAAAAATTTGACAACTAACTTGCAAGGAAAGAAAAAAACATTTAAGACTGAAATGAAAAACAAATAAAAGTTGAGACTAAATTGATAATTTTATCCTAATAATAAAAATAATATCTCTACAATTATGATAAACTGAATTTTATTTAATTTTCTAATAGTCACTTCACTAAACCTTATTATCGTTATTATTTAATGTTTATTATTATTTTCATTATTATTGTTTTTTATTTTATTGTTATATCTAAACAAAAATTGCAATATGACGCCATATATGTATATTCTCTCCATTTATTATTTCTTGTAAAGATATAAAATTATGAATAGTACCAAACTCTATTAGTCAATCGCTTTAGTTAGATTGCAACAAATTTAAATGGATATCATGTTATAAAAACCAATACCCTTATATTCATATTAATTGATATCTTTAAATATCTTATTAATAACTATAAAAATTTAAATTTATACAAAATATTTTGAAAAACCACTAATATCTATGACGCAAACATTAAAAATTACATTTGTCTTATGAATAATTTTAATCTTCAAATATTTGATAAGATCATACGTATTTATATTCGATTATCTTAGATAAAAAAATCAAATCGAATAATAATTTTTATTAGTTTATTGACATATTTAAAAAAAATCTTATGCTCAAAAATCACTTAAATTAAACCATCTTTTTGACTAATTAACCATGTGTAAATTATGCATTAATTCAAAAATATATTTTAAAAATAAAATTTTTACTAACACCATATAATAATTTTTTTGATCGACTAGTGCTTGTATGGTGCAGTTGGTATTTGTACTGCAAGGGTTAAAATGTTATTAAAATAATTATTCAGTAAAAATGCTTCTAATAACTAAATTGTAGTTTCTTTAGTGAAAATAATTATAAAAGTGCTGGCTTTAAAAGTTAAAAAGTTGTTATCTTATCTGGAAATAACTGTAATATAATTTTAAAGAATTTTTCAATGAACATAACTTAAAACCTTAATTAACTAAGATAAATACATAATTATTATATATTATAATATTATAATATTATATATGTTTTATTCTTGAAAAAAAAGGAATACAGAATGTTGTTTGGATGGTTGGCATGAGAAGGGTCTGTTAATGTGCCTGCGGGCGCAGGGAGATCTGTGTACCAGCGAGGTGGTGAATGCGATCCTCCGTGAGTGGATAAAGTCACGTGACGTGGACCCCACCCGACAAACTCCCAGGGTAAAGCCTCGACACGCGTAGTAGACACGCCTGGACAAGCATCTCTCTCTCTCTCTCTCTCTCTCTCTCTCCCTCTCTTTTTATAAAAAAAAAATTTCAGCTTTGTTCGTCGTCCGAAGTCCTGCTTCGATTGAATCAAAACCCACGATGCGATAAAAGAAGAGAGTTTTTGGAGAGAGTCAACAGATGATGCTAATGCCCACCTCCATCTTCCCCTTTCCTAATCGTCCCTTCTCCGATTAACCTAACCGTAATTACCTAAAAAAAGCTTCAAAAATCTTTCCCGATATTCACAAACCCTAGATCTTTGTTCCCATTTTCCTTCAATTTTTCTTCCTTACCCCTCCAATTTTCTTTTCCATTCTTATCTTCACGGATATGGATCGTCGGTGCCCTTGATTTCGTCTACAGTTGTTTCTTCTTTCTCTTGTGTCACGTGATAATTTGATTCTTTTAGGTAGGGGATTGTGAGATTGCGATAGGGTTTCGGTTTCTAATTTGTTGTGTTGATGGAGCCTCGTGTGGGGAACAAGTTTCGGCTCGGTCGGAAGATCGGTAGTGGCTCCTTTGGGGAGATCTATCTTGGTTCGTTCCTGACTTCTTCTTTCTCTTTCTTTTTATATTTTATTATATGTATAGATATAATATTCGTTGATTTGTTTCTTATGTCTTTCAGGGTGTGTTTTATTGGCTTTTCAATTGATGTAATTCTCTTTTTTTTCCTTTTCCCTGTGAAATTGTAAATTTGCAGGTACTAATATTCAAACAAATGAAGAGGTCGCCATTAAGCTTGTGAGTGTTCTTGCTGCCGGTTTCGCTTTGGTTTCTTTAATTTTATTGAATTTGCGGCTTCTGGTAGATAATATGGTGTTGGTGAATTAGCGGCTTGGTTCCAACTTATACGTTAATTTCAATTTTTGGAGTTTGGACCTTCTTTTAGGGTCTTGACTTGCTTAACTTTTATGTATTAGTTAAATAGAACTTGATTCCTAGGTTAGTAGATGATGTTGAAATGTAGGTCTTCATAACAAGTAAAAGTACATATAAGCTCTTGTTAATTATGCACATTCCAGAATTAGAACAGGCAAACTTAGAGTTGGGCTCCTTCGGTTTAAAACGCGAAGTGAATGACAATGTGATGGATAACTCGTGGGTAATGTCTTGAAAGCAGTATGCCTGTTTAAATACGAAATGACACTGGAAGAAAATGTGGGTAGTTCAGAGCATTTCATGCTTTACTGATCCTTAACTGACTACCAAAGGTTTATTTAAGCTTGCATTTGTCACTTTTGGCTGCACATTCCTAAGTTTGATGAATGATTGTTTTGACCATTTTACCTGCTTGTTTGAGTCATTTTGCAAATAACAAGTCTCCTGCCAAATTTCTTGATTTGATGTCATTATATCTTTTTTCTTCTAGAGAGTGAAATTTCTGTGCTCCATTTAGGTTGAAATTGTGGCTAGCCCTTTACCGCTACATGTAATGAGGAACTCATCTGTTGCTATCCCTTGATGTAACCAATACTCATTTCTCTGGGTTTTCAACTGTGGGAGAACCAATATGACTGCTGTCCCCGAAAAGCAGATTTTATTTTTTAATTTGGAAGTCATAAAGTTTTATTGCAATGACTGGATTTTGGCTGATTGTCATGCGGGCAACTTGTCTTTGTCGATCTTAATAAATTTAAGTGAAATACTATGACATTGGAGTAATTTGACGACCCATGCATTCATTCTTCTGTTTGCTGAAGATGAGGGTATATAGATAAAGCATGTACTCTGTTTGTTTATGATTAAATTTGCTAAGCTGATTCTTTAGAAAGAAAGGATTATTAAGTCTTAGAATGAATAAGCTAGAATTTTTATTTTTAGCATAAATTTGAAAATAAATAATTCTTGTTGTCATTTAATCATTTTTGTGAAAAGGATGGACTATGTTTGATGATTAATGATGCTTTTCTTTTTCATAAAATAATGATGCTTTCTTTACAGTCTAATTTTTATTCTAGGATGAAATTCCAATTCTTGTAGACTTTGATATGTTTTTTAAAATGTGCTATCCCTCTGGTTTCCTAATTTATGGGTGATCGTCAAATTGAAAGAGAAAATATTTCTGTCAAAACGAGTTGGTGATTGGTTCAAATTGTTAATTGTCCATGATTCATTTTGGTTAATAAGATGTGACATTGTCTCTTATGTTCAGGAAAACGTCAAGACAAAACATCCACAGTTGCTGTATGAATCAAAGTTGTACAGAATTCTGCAGGGAGGAAGTAATTACATTTTTGTTCTCTGAGAGAAAAGTTTTTTTAATAAATTAGAAAATTGGTTAATATGAGTTAATTATATTTTTTTTACTTTTGGAACTACTCTGCTTTTATTTTGTCATTACTGATGATGATGTTAGAATTTTTACCAGCTGGCATTCCAAATGTGAGATGGTTTGGTGTTGAGGGAGATTACAATGTGTTGGTGATGGATTTGCTTGGACCTAGTCTTGAAGATCTGTTTAACTTCTGCAGTAGAAAACTCTCCTTAAAGTCAGTTCTCATGCTTGCAGATCAAATGGTATGTCACATGGATATTATGCTTTGTAATATTAAGTTGTTTCTTCTGAAATTGGATCAAAACAGTTTCTTCTGAAAATGATTTATTCATTCTATTTTTTGATTTCTTATAAGATCAATCGTGTCGAATTTGTTCATTCGAAATCATTTCTGCATCGAGATATCAAGCCAGATAATTTTCTCATGGGCTTGGGACGGCGAGCAAATCAGGTTTACCATCCTAATTTTAATGAAAAAGATTTTATATCTTTTAATTTTTCATGCAAGAAAGTCATATTATTATGATGTTATTTCCTTCTGTACAGGTGTACATTATTGATTTTGGTTTGGCTAAGAAGTACAGAGATAGTTCAACTCATCAGCATATTCCTTACAGGTAAGAAGAATATGTAATTGGCTGCTAGTAATGTATACATGGGAAATGTAGGTGGTTTGTGAATGTAATGTTCTTGAGTCTTGTGGGAAGTTCTAAGACTTAAATTTTTGTCAATTTGGTTCCGCTGATCTGGTTTGCATCTGTGGGATGTCATTCTGCCTAATTTTCTTGCCGTTCATTGTTCCTTTTTCCTAATCCTTCTAATCTCTGTTGATGCTACTTCTTTGTACTCAATGCTGTTGGAATGCAGTAGCAATTAGGTTTTCAACTCATATTCTTCCATCTAGTGTTTCATTTTTCTACTTATCTATTGGAAAGTATCTTGGTAACAGGCACAGAATTCATTATTATTTTGGATCATGAATATTGCAGAGAAAACAAGAATCTGACTGGAACTGCAAGATATGCCAGCATGAATACTCATCTCGGCATTGGTAAGGCTTTTCCATCCTTCCACACTTCATTTTTGTTTATTCATGTTCTTTTTTGGCACTAGGTTTTATTGTTCCATTTTTGTCTCTTTCTTTTATTCTTTCATGACATTTTGGAATTCATAGAGCAAAGTCGGAGGGATGATTTAGAATCACTTGGTTATGTCCTTATGTACTTCTTGAGAGGAAGGTGATTGTTACTAACTACGCACATTACTGTCTTCCTATCTGTTGAAAATTTGTTAATGATGCCCGATGTCTTCTTTAGTCTTCCTTGGCAGGGACTGAAAGCGGGAACTAAAAAACAAAAGTATGAGAAAATCAGTGAAAAAAAGGTTTCTACTTCAATTGAAGTAAGTTTACAGAGTAATGTGGTTATGAGGAAATTCTTATTATATCCTGCTAAACAAATGTTGACTGGAACTTATTTCTGTTTCTCAGGCCCTATGCCGGGGCTATCCGACAGAATTTGCTTCATACTTCCATTACTGCCGTTCACTTCGATTTGATGACAAGCCTGACTATGCTTATCTGAAAAGACTATTCCGTGACCTTTTCATTCGAGAAGGTTTGAGTTCTACCTTTTTTTTTTCCCCCCCTCAAACGAGGTTTGAGTTTTGTGATAGCTTAAAAAAAGAAATATTAATTTGGTAGTACAGTTTCAAATTTACATTGTAACTGCTTGTTGTTGCTGTAGGCTTTCAGTTTGATTATGTTTTTGACTGGACCATTTTGAAGTATCAGCAATCACAGCTAGCCACACCGCCATCTCGTGCCCTTGTAAGTTGTAAATAGTTTGCTTATATGGTTCATCGATGGCGTTAGATGCATTTCTATAATGCTTCTTCTCTTAGGGCCCTGGTGTTGGAACTAGTTCTGGAATGTCCCCTGCCATTGCCAATGCTGACAGACAAACAGGTAATTCCTTATGTGGATCTTAAACTGATGTGAAATTATGCGATTAAGGGGTTAAGTATTCAATCTAAGCTTTTAAATAGATGTTCCTTTTTGATTCTTTTAATTTCACCTCAATGCTAATGTCAGTCCTTTTCATGTTTACCTTGTTATATTATCTTTATGTATCTTGCTAGGGATGTTATTATCCTTCTCTTCGTAAATTCTTTTATAACATACAGAACCTGATTTCTATCATTTACCTCTTGTTGCAGGTGGGGAAGAAGGGCGTCCAGCAGTTTTGTCTTCTGTTGACTCTTCTAGGCGGAGACTATCAGCTCCTATTGTAAATTCGGTCAGTCTCCCGAAGCAGAAACATGCAGTCCCTAATGATGCAGCAATTTCCAGAGACGCAATAGTAAGTGGTTTTAGTGTTTCAAAAAAAAGTGGTTTTAGGTTTCCTAAAGAACATGAAGAAAATCATTTGGCTCTTACTTGGGTTGATCATTGTTTGATGCATGCTTCCAAGGATTGGATGGACTATTCCTTCCCAATCAGATTGACCTTAATCATGGATTGGTCCTCCTCTAATGGTAGTTTGCACCAGGTCATTAAATGGATAATAGTGGTATTTTGCTTACTCAACTTTTTTCACAAAAGATGGAATGGTACATGGCACCGAGAGAGTGTCAGCCAAACAATCTATGAGGTTCCCTAGATACAAAAGCATTTACCTGTCATCGGAGTCTATGGTATTTTGTTTTGCTCCATTATCTGTGGTTCTTCATTATAATCCATTCCCATGGATATTATTGTGCAACTTTATCACCCACTTAGTTGCTTGTCTTGCTTAATTGCTATTTAGCAATTTGATCTCTGACGGTTTCTAAATTTATGCTGCCACTTCCATCTAACAAAAATGGATGCGTTTTTCTTAGTAGTTGTATTTTTGTCTTTTTTCTCGGCAGACATTGTTTCCATTTTTTCTTTTACTTTCAACTTTTTTCTCTTTCTTTTATTTCTTCTGTTCTAATTGAATCACCAGTTTATTCCACCCCATTTCTTCATATTGGTTTAATTGACTCATCGATCTTTTCCTTAATGAAATCATTTCAGCTTTTTTTCTAACTCGAATTAAATTATTTTCACTATATATGCCTCGTCAGATGTGTCTTCATTTTTTTGCCGTCGTTTGATTGATCTCTGTAGTTTGTTCTTTAATGAAATTATCAAGTCTTTTTTCAGTCAGTATACCTGTTACTTTTTCCTTTCTTCCATTGTCTAATGGCTAGGTAGATATCTTCTAAACCTTTGATAGTAGTCAGAGTCCTATTGGATGGATTTTATTTCCATATATACATGATATGTCTATGTATATATTTCTATGTTAAGAAAGACAATTTTTGACTGATTGAATTAGAGATGCTTATGACTTATGCTATATATGGTACATGCTTATTTCATTGACCTAGGAGCCTATATTACGGAAAGAATAAAGACTAAGGATAATCAATTTCTTTTCTTTTATTATTTTTATTTATTATACTTGTCTTGAAGCAAAATTGTTCAATTCGTACCTAAATAGCTTCTTTAAAAATGGTTGCTGCTTTTTTTTTGGTTTTTTATGTTTTTTTCTCCTCTTATAGTCGCTCTTTTGACTTTTTCCTGCCAAATAAGATTGCAATATGTATATATTTTTCCTTTTAATTAAGGGAAGAATTATTGATCTGTCTTCTATTTGTCTTTCTTTTTTCTTTTTGTGTTTGTAACCTTAAAAAATAATATCATTTTATGTGAACTCTTTTTTCTCTTTTCTCTTAACAAATTTACCAATTTATTCTTTTTTCCTTGGTCATATTAACTTGCAGATCTAATCTTAATTTTTTGGTGTTAAATTGTCATTTTTGCCCTTGTATAGGCTAAAACCAGTTTGCCTTTTTTTCCCCCTTTTTAGTTAATCCTACAGTTTTATTTTTTAAAATGAAATTATCAGTTTTTTTTGCTTTTTTTAACTTTCTCCAGTATAATATTTTGTTTTGTTTTTTAATGTAATTAAATCATGAGCTTTTTTCTCCTTTTAGTTAAGTAAAATGACTGATTTGTCTGTACTTCTCAAATCTTACTTTTCCTTGATTTGTTTTTAAAAATTTGAAATAGTTATCAATATGCCTATGCTTTTTGTTCTTTTGTTGGTTTAGAAAGTAAGATTACTGATTTGTTATTTCCTTCTTGCTAATCGAAGGAAAAGGTTTTGAGTTTGTCATTCTTTTTTCCTGTCAGCTTCTAATACTTCAAAGAACAAAATTTTTTGGTTGATCTTTCAATTTCTCTTTTTCTCTGTAGCAAATTACATATTGTCCTATAGATGTATATGCACAAACACATATGCACATGTACATATATATTCCATACCATGTGTATGTTTGCCAATGGATAATAAATATGTTTTGCCCGATATATTAAAATTTTTTTTTTTGCCCATTAGCAGGGTCACGTCCATTTATTATTATTATTATTTCTTTACCTAACAATGTGTTGTCAATTGCCGAAGTTATGCCACTTTATTTTTTTTACATACTTTTTTTTTTTTTTTGAAAAAATTTACTTTTTTACATACTATTTGTTTTGGGTAAAACTTGATCTTTTTAATACTTAATCCTTGTAGTAAAATAAAGTTAATGGTTGGATGATATGATGCTCTGGAAAACGGTTAGGACCAAGTGTCTGTTGTCTTTGCTTGCCGTAACAGGCTTGTAATAGGGCTTTAATTCCAGCATACGACTCCAGTAACAGACTGCCAACTGAGCTTCACTCTTATCATGGGAACGTCTTTTTGGGTTTGCTTTATCTTTAATGTTGATAAATTAGGCAGCATATCACTCTTATCATGGGAACGTCTCTTCTCTGATATTTTATTATTTAGCAATTCTGTCCACTTTGCAGTCTTTAATACTCAAGCCTGGATTCTTTCTTTGACATGCTAAGTTATATGACTCACAGCTGTCTGGTTCAACATTATTGGGACGTGGTGGATCCTCAAGGCGGGCTGCCATGTCAAGCAGTCGCGATGCATTTGCTGGAAGTGATGAGCCCCAGCAATCTCGGACAACCGATTCAGGCCTTGGAGGAATGCACAGAATTTCTCCTGGTGGTGGATCATCAGACCCCAAGCGCTCATCTTCCGCTAGAGCCGCTAATGTAAAGAACTACGAATCTGCTCTCAAGGGCATTGAGGGCCTGCACGTTGATGGTGATGAGAGGGTTCATTATTAGGTTTCTTTCTAATCTCTGGGCCCTGTTGTAAAATCATGAATTGCTGGGTGTGCTATCACAATTGAGTAGAGTAGGGATTGCACTTTGAATATTTGAATTACGGGGCGCCGGATGCATGAACTGATGCATAGACTAATTTGCATAGAAGGCAAAGTGAGAATATCCATCCAGAAAATTGATAATATGGAAGACAAGTGAGAAATTTTTAGGCGCTTTTAGTCTTTCCTTATTTTTCTGTGTAAAATTTTCACTTGAGGTTGTTTTTCGTGTAAAATGAATACTTCGATAGGGTTGTTGGTAACAACGAATAAATGGTTGTAATTGAATTTGTATCAAATGAGGCTGATGGAGGAGACAGTAGGATGCAATTTTTGGAGATTGAAGGCCGGAGAAGATTGAATTTCGTAGCCCAGTTAAACTCAAAATTTCATTATAGTGATTTTGCTCCCTTATAGAAGAGAAAAAGGAAAGCGTAATGTCTTGGTGAAGGTTCGAAATGAATTTTCCTTTATAATATCACAAGAATATGTTCAGTATTGAACTGAGTTGATGTAAACGGTCAAAACAAAAAAATAATGAACCGGCATTGCAACGTCCTGATGCCAATTTGGGCACCAACGTCGAAAATAGCAGATAAAAATGGATTTAATTACACTACTGTAGAAATTCACATCCCATACAAATATGCATGTGCTGTATTTTGAGGCTAATAAGGCTCAGTTCTATTTACATTGTTTAAAGAAAACAAAAGTTTTAGAAAACTAGCCTTCAAAAAATCAGAACATACAAAAGTCTATTCTTCTCTTTTACTCATCCCGGAAGGGATCTAGACATGGTTCTTCAGGAAGACCATCCAAGTCAGTATATAGTAAATTTGAATTTGGGGTGAGTGTTAAATACTCAATAAGAAAAATAGTAATAAAATTATATAAATATATTTAAAATATTAATTAATATAAAATTTAAGAAATTATTGATGTTCCAAACACTTTTTAAGTGAATTCATCATATCATAATATTTCTCACAATTCACGCATGCAAAATTGAACACTTCTTTTGAAGTTTTATTACAGTTTATTAATTTAAATTAGGTTACATTGATTACAAATTTATGCACGCAACCGTTTATACTTATTTCTAAAGAGAGTAAATGAGACACCAACTAGTTATGAATGATTACGAAATCAATCTATAAATATATTAAAATGACGTACAATATACATACAATCTCTCAAATCTCTCCGATCGACCCTCTCACAAATTTTACTCCGGTCACATAATTCATCTCTCGTCAGAGCATGAATACCAATTAATTCAGATTCCCATGCAAAAAATGAATACTAATTCCAACACAATAACCAAAACCAACACTCACAGCCTACTAGCTCTAAAATCCATACAGACTATTCCTCTAAGAAAATTAGGTAAATCAGATTTAACTAGACAATTGTATTGGTTAAATTTTTTACCCTTTTATTTTTTTTTTCTTTTGATTTTATCTGACTAATTTATAGGTTTATTAATTTGACATTTTACTGTATTTTAAACTAGCCTTTTTATTTATTGATTTTACTTAATATGTTCTTATTTTATTTGTTTTATCTAAAGTTTTATGGTTGATTAAATTTTATTGAATTATTGTTATATTTTATTAATTTTAAGTATAAGATTAAATATCTTACTTATTCTGTACCCAGTATTTAATTTTTCCATTTCTCAATTTTGGTGTCATTGTAAATTTCAATTTAATTTTCGAATATCAAATTTTACTGTTAAATTCCATTTTATGCCATTTCATAAATTTAATTCCAATTTTTGTTTATAAGAAAATTACTAATTTGCCCGTAAACCATTGCCCGCCTAAGGAAATTTCCCTTTCTCGTGCCTGTAGCCCGGTTAACATCCGCGAAGGCCTCTCGGCGTGCGTACGCCTCTCAAACCAACACGGCTCGCACTGCCCGCTGTGTGAGGCAGCTGGCCTACAAGGCATGTGCTGAGGTGCAATGGGGCGCCCTTGCGCACATCCCTACATGCCTATGCACGCACGCTTGCACTGCGCGCGATACCTTCATGCGCATAGGTCCTCTCGGCACCGCAGGGTGCTTGGCAAAACCTCGCACACTCCCGCACAGCGTAGTGCACGTGCGCGGTGTGCCAGAGGGACTAACCCGATGCTTTTGAGCGCCTGGGAATTGTCCCGCGCGCATTCTCGCACTGCTAAGTCGCGGGTGTCCCTCTTTACCGACACTTTGGTGCCTGGCACAGTCAACAGAGGCATTTGGACTCTGTCAACATTTTTCCTTTGATATTTCGTTCAATTTCGATTAATTTTCCATTCCAATTCATTCTCATACATTAATCAAACATTAATCATCATCCAAACATCACAAAGCATTTATTTATATGAAGAAAATATGCATGAACGCGCACACACACGCACACCCCCCCTTATTTTCGTTAAAACCACAAGCACAGTTCCATTTTATGCAATTTTTACCGATTAAATGCATATATAAAGCTCAATACTTGTATTCACTGAATTATTATCCTTTTTACCTCGAAGAGAACGGTTATTTGGGTCCAAACGCACTAGTAGAATGAATATGAAACTAGAAAAATGGTCTGTAACTCGTCTGGGCAACGGTTGCAGAGTTAATTGCGAAGTTTTGGTTAATTCTTGATTTTAGGAACAATTCTATCGTTGCAATTTGTTTCTTAAGACTCCTAAGATTTTAAAATAACTAATTATGACTTAAGAATGAAATGAAATTAAAGACAAAAAGAAATTAGAAAGAAACAACACGTTTACCCACATTGTCTTCACGTTCAGGTGCAGCAGAAGGAAGTTTTAGGTTGAAGCTTGCTGCGATTTTCTGGGTTTGTGTGGCCGTTAGCAACTGTATTGAGATACTAAGGAAGAAAGGAATGATGCAATAGAAGAGGAAGGAGGCTTACCTTAATTGGAAAGAAGCAAAGTCCCCCCTTATAGACTCACACAACTCTCCCTTGAGTGCTCTTGTAAGTGTTTCACTTTTTCACTCGTGTTTCTCTCCTGATTTATCTTTAAACCGTCCGTTTCCACTCTCAAGTTTTTTATTCTCTATTCCCAATCGAATGAGGAAGAAGGTCAGATTAGGAAGCATTTAAATGGAGTTTTTCATCAATTGCTGGCCTTTGAATCGCTGCAATTGATCCACTTCATTGTTGTCCCAAAGTGGCCGACAACATGAGGAGGAGGAAGCCGGAGTTCGACAGTTGGTCGGGGAATTGGCCATCATGACTGGATGGCTAGGACATTATAACAATTGTAGTTAGTGTCATGAAATCAAGGCTCAAGCCAAAGGGTACTTGCTTGCAGGCTTGCTGTCCACGGGATAAGCGTGCAAATTCTCTCCCCCCCTCCCCTGTGTGCATACCCGCGAGTAAAGAGGCTCGTGGACAAGTCATACAAAGCCTTATCGCGTGTCCACGAACTATCAAGTGGAATCCCCCGTGTATCAGCTTGCGAGTTAACAAACTCGTGGGTGAGGGATTCCAAAATTACGCGGTTTGCCCTAGGGAAATTATTTGAGAAACGTTTCTTTTGAAATGTATACATTTTCTAAATAAATAAAATCAATTAATAGAATATAATTGAATTTAACAAAAACAAAACGTAGCTTATGAAAATTCATTTTTTCATTAATAACTCGAGTTTTATAGAACCAATTGTTATAAATATACCATAACTTATCTGTCACAATTTGAGATTTATCTAATAATTAAGCTCTGATATCAATTTGATGCAGAATTCAGGATTAACTTGCAATTCAAATTCACACATGCACAATTAGCACTAAAGCTTAATCGTTAAAAATATTTTCTACTTAACCCACAGCTAACAAGTGATTGGAATTAAGATAATAGGGATAGAAGATAAGGAAATTAATTAAAATACTATAAGAATACCTTGATTAGTTGAAATCAATTCTCTACACAACAAAAAGGTTAAAGAAATCTTCTCAAGTAACTTCATGGCTAAACTTGTTCTTAAAGAACTTTCTTAACTGATTATTGAATGAGTGAAACACTTACAAGAGGACCTATTTATAGAAAAATTCAGCAAAATTTCTAATAGGAAATGCCACTTTATAGTAGGACTTTTAGCTAATAACAAGATCTTTTGAGAACAACTACTACTAGGTGATAAGACCATAACCTATACATGACTAAATACACATTAAAGACTCTTTATTCTTTAATTGGTTGGTGGTGACTTGTAGGATAAGAAGATTGCTAGACAAGGACTCTTCAAGAATAATGTTTGGTTGTTGATGAGTTAAAATGTGACCATGCTTTTGTAGGATATTGATTCTTTATTCCTTATGAGATTGAGGTTGACAATTTGGCCATGATTTTATGGTATAAGAACTCTTATTCTTTCACATGTTTAATGTCCTTCATGATTTAATCAACTTAATCATGATAAGAGGAGTGAACGACAATGAGAGTGTTGGGCCAAAAGTCGAAGATTTTAAGGACTCTTAATGCCTAGCTTATAGAAGAGTGTTTAGCCAAATGTCCATGCTTTATATAACTCTTGTTAGTCGAGTATTGAAGACTTTAAGGACTCTTTATGATGTTAGCATTAATGACTTGGACTCTTGATGTGTGCATGGATCACCATGGGCCACTTGGAAGAGACATCATCATGTCAAGTGGGTCCGTAACAAGGAACTGGACCAAAATATTACAATAAGCTCTCCAACTCTTCATCCAAGCTTGGATTAATGAGTAAGATGGGCTTAAATCCACTAAAAAAGCCTAAGGGAAGAAACTACCCAATCAATTAACCCAAAGACGTAATGATCTCATCAACTTGCTTCAAGCACATGATGAAAAGGAGGAAGAAAAAGAAGTAATCGGCCAAGAAAACACAAAAGAGGAAATTGTGGGCAGCTATCAAGGGAGCCTTCATGGCCAACAATAAATTATGATAAATTTTCCTCTTAAATCACTCATAATCTCTTCTAATAAAGGGGGAAGACCATATCTATTCTAGTTAGGAATTTAAATTTAAATTTTAATTAATTTCTTATGTAATTGCAATTTTAATTAATTCTTTAAATTACTCATAATCTCTTTTAATAAAAGGAGAAGACCATATATATTCCAATTAGGAATTTAGATTTTAATTTTAATTAATTTTATATGTAATTACAATTTTAAATTAGGAGATTTTTATTACATTTTTTATTCACATGACTTACCATATAAATAGGCCCTCAAGTCTTCATTATAAGTACTCAAGATTGAAATCAATAATATTGTGAGTCTTATTCAAGATAAATTTTTTCATATTTCTTGTTGAATAAGGGGTGGATCTACTTATTAAGGTA